CTGGCGAAAATTTGTTCTGAAATTGAAACTCATTTAGGCTAAGTGATAGTTTTTTCGAAAGATTAAATGGAATTGCCAATGCTGACGGTTTTGTTTTTATTTGTTTTATTTTATGAAAGATTACCTTACATATAGAATTTCTACTTTACATAGACAATGTATTTCACCTTTGATACTTTGATTTTAAATTTTAGCTTCTCTGTTCAAATCATAAATATATATGTAATAAATAATTTAAGAATGCATGGCTTTCATTACATCCATACATACAATTTGGGTGTTTCATAAATGATTCTTCAAAACGTAGTTGTACTCTAGTTTTATCACGTCGCAGCTATCTTAAATCTTAAATTGAAACTCATGGGCCGAGTCTGCCGTAAAATGGACGAATGTTGTTATAGCCAGCTATGTCAAGTTCCAATTTCTATGCAAAGTGCTACTAAATACTATCAAGCGTTTTTCACATAAAATGCCTTTTCACTAGGGTTTATACAAAAACCGACATTTCAGAAAACCGGTTTTCAAATTTTAATTTTATTAAAAAACCGGTTTTCGAACTTTATGTAAAAAATACATTTTTGCTCGAATATTCTGTAATTTATCTACAAATTCAGTGTAATTTAGAATAGAATTTGACTGAATTTATTTATTGTTCAATTTTATAGATAGTAAACAAAATTATTTTAATTTTAATTAGTAGAACTAAAAAATAATAGTTTATCTTGATTAAAGAACTTTGAAAATAATTATTTGTTATTCATGCATCATTTTCACACATATGAAAATATTTTTATGATAGTGAAAGGAAAGATTTCGAATGAATAAAAATAATACATTTTTATATAAAAAAAATTCATTAAATAAAAAAAATAAAAAAATATTGGATACATGTTGATACATACTTATTAATATCAATTTTAGTTTCAAAAACAATTAAGCTAAACTTTTATTTCTGTTCCGAGCAATTTTAATTAATTAATTTTAAACATTCTAATTGCTTTTTGTTTAATAAAATATGATTTAAGAAAATTGAGAACGTCTATCGAATTGTTACTTAAACGTGTCCTTTGTTTACTCATAAAATTTACTGAAATAGAAAATACTCTCATACTTACGACCAAATTATGCTTAATTGTTTTTAAAGCCTGATATAGTAATTCTAAGTTTTTTGCTCTTTAATTTGTGGCTTCTAAGGTTTAAAACTGTTTTTTTTTTTTAAGTTTGAGTAGAGAAAGTTACTTCTTCAAGAAGTCACACTGATTTAAATTAATATATACACTGGTATAAAAATCTAAATTATTACATACAAAACCTTTCTAGGAACCATTGCAGACTGATAAAATATCAAATGCTATTGAAACGATATGATTTCAAGAATCAAAACCCTTTCATCAATCTTTGATATTTCGCTATATTTATCATTTACCATTTATAAAGTGAAAATCGACTTTTTTCACTCAAAAACCGGTTTTTGAATTCCATAATTTTTGCCAACAAACCGGTTCTTAAAACCAGTTTTTGAAAACCGACAAACCCTACTTTTCACCCATACGTTATCTCAAAGGTGCTATTATGATGACACCCTTTTTTACATTTGTGCTTTTTGTAGGTTAGGTTTTCTTTCTAAAACGCCTTTCTGCACAGCACCCATAAAGGATTTAGATAGTTTTTGGAAGCACTGACAATTTTTCTGTCTGAAACCTTTCTGCACATCAACCACATAGGATTTTCACTAGTTTTTAGTAGTTTTTGGCCTTGTCACATAGTCTATTTTACGGCAGAATCTATCCTTTATTTAGGCTAAAATTATTTTTATAAAATCATAAGGAGATTACCAATATAACACTAACTCGTCCTGCAACCCTTTTATTTTTTTTTAATATTATTTCTAAAGAAACCCGCGAAACGCTAAGATAAAATGGAAAATCTCAAGAAGTACTCCTGCTTCCCAGCTCTTGTAATTACGTCATGTGATACGACAATCGCCGTTGTGAAAACATGCAGAATGGTGGCAGCGGTAACAGTCTTTGTTGTTATACCTCGTTTGCTGAGGTATTAAACATAATACGGTTGTGCAGTGCAGAGATATGAAGCAAACATATGCAGCATGCACATAATGGCATGATCGTCATTATAAAGAGCAATATAAAACTAGAAAATGGAAAATAATAATTCACATGGATTATTAAAATATATAGTCGAGATGCTTTGCATTATTAAAAAGTTATGTGACAGTTTAACATTTTTGTATACATCTGATATTTGTATCCTGTGGTACTTCAAAAATTAGGTCAGCGTCACTGCGTATAATCTGAATCTACCCAAAACATTTCGACTAATTCCAAATCTCGGTTTCTTGTTCTCACTAACGCCATGCCCGCAAGTCATATTCAACGAGATACGTAAGATGAATACGTAAATCGCTCCTTCGACTTTGGTGGTGTGTTTTTCGGAGCTGGAAACACACGTATATCAAAACAGAATTAGGCCTGTTGACGCTGCTTCATATTCTGCATGAAAATCAGTCATCGACATATTTCTTAGCGGATTTCTGCCGGAATGTTAGATATGTTGACGTTTTGATATCTTGCCGTCTGCTTGCTACTGGATTCTCACGCGTTTGTACTTATGTAAATTTTGTTTTGTTTTGCATATACGACTGGAATTAAAATACTTTGGTAAGGATAATAAAATAGAAACTTGGGGTAAATTTCCATTCGTATTTTCTTCTAGCATTTTTATGTAGACACGGTCGTAGACAAGTGGCTAGAAAGACTGGACCTGAATCAGTGGTCCCGGGTTCGAGTACTGTTGTCAAATTCACAGCGGATTTTACTTGCAAAAATGTTTTCAAACAAAAATAGCCCTATTCGGCATTGCTGCATCAATAAATTTTGACCCCATTAGAGAAATTGTAATAATAATTTATTACACAGAGATAGTATAACCGAAAATATTATAAAAACATCATTGGCTTCGAGTTCACCAGTGTAAAGAATAAGTACATAATAATACAAAATTTAGTACTTAGGTTTTCTCTTTGATTTTCATTTTGCTTCATCTAACTGACGCTGATTCCGGAAAATAATGCCTTCAGAAGAATTAAAACAGTATATTATTCAAATTCTTTTAAAACTTCCAGAAGAATCGCATCACGAGAATTGTAGTAAATGTGAGTTATATAAGACTTACTTAGAAAACTTTTAATTATCATAGTTACACCGTAGCTGCCACTACGGAATAATACTTTAATAAAATTAATGAACGCCCTAATAAACAAAGTTCTTGCATTAAATATTAAAGTGAAAATATAAGTATTTGAAGTTCGACATTTGTGATTTTATAATTAAATTAATGCACTTTTAAAAGTTACTATAATTTGCAACGCAGCAGTAAACAGTGACGTTTTTCTATAAACAAATTGAAAGTAGAAGCACTTGAGTGTTATTGATTTAAATCTATATGTATATAAACGTTAATATCATTATTGTTATTAACACTTTCAGGACGACACCGATTTCAAAACAATCCACTATACCGGCTGTAAACTTGATTTCATTGTGTATGTTATGCAATTTGTTTGATAAAAATTTATGGTCATTGAAGGACATACATTTATAATATTAATTTTTGATCATTTTATAAAGAATGGTGACGATCAAAACAATTTTCAAAATGCATAGCTGGTTGATTTTGACATGTTTTACAATAAAATATTTTTTGCCGCCTTCCTCCTAGTGTTTTTCTGTCAGAACAGACAATACAATCTTTTTTTCTTTCTCTGGCATTTAGAATATGCCACTGAGTAGTCAGTATATTTGTTTATTTTTGTGCTGCCATAATGGTTTGTTTTTCTATTATATTGTCTAATAATACATTTGTAAAATATAAAGTAAATAATATATTGGATGTCTTATATTGCTTGGTATTTGTAGTCGGGGTGTTTGTTGAAACTCGATTATTGGCACATTCGCTAATGTCTTACCGCTCTTCATTTAATTTGTCGAACTTCTTCTTCTTTGTGTTGGTTGGATAATAACATCATCATATTCATCACTATCTTCGGTGCGAATAGTGATATCGTAAAAGTTGTCTGTATGAATGTCTATTTGAAATTCATCTTCTCTACTAAATTCACTAAATTTACCAGTCGCTTTGCCATATTTAAAAGCGCTCGGTCGTTTTAAATATTAAAAAAGGATTATATAGCAAAGAAAAAGGCTAAAAATACTACTAAAATAACTTAAAATTATTTAAGTTAACTACATATAGCTGCTTATCACTGCTATATGTAATTTATTCAACTTTTCGATTCAAACTGAGTCATTGTTTATGAAATAGTGTGACGAGAAATGGGTTGATGCTCCCTTTCTGGGGGTATTGCAACGACTTCCATTATTACATCTAGCGTTGCATCCCCAACGAAAGGGTTACACCAACTCCTTAACCCGACTTCTTTAAACACCCTGTAATTACCTGTGGAAAAGCCAACTAACTACGCGAATGAAACAGAATGTACTTTTAGCTTATTTAATTATTGATTGTCGTTACAATAGCCTGTGCCTCATAGAGTATGTTTGTCCACTCAGGTAGACAGCCATCCTCAAAAAGTTAATATTCTATACAGCAATCAGGATTTAAGGGTTTTATTAACTTATATGCTAAATTAACTTAATACTAGTCGGTTCTACAAATGGCGACTCAAACAGTTGTCTCATCTCTGTATGATGAATTGTTATTACAATTTCTCTAACAATATTACTGATTCAGCAGTATCCGATGAGAGCTAATTTCATTTGGAAACATATTGCTAACTATATTCCCAAGTGAAAGCGGATGTCACTACTGCTTGAGACAGACAAGATTGTTTGATATAAAAACAAAAAATCGATTGTTGTCAATTATAGTTGAAGTTAATGATAACATGCTAACATATGAACATAACCATTAAATACTGGATAATTCCATATATCATTAATTTTTACCAATTTTTCTCCCAGATGCTCCAACAATTCGCCTAGTCGGTGCACCAACTGGTGACTTGGAAGAAGGACGCGATGCGTTAGTAATGCGCTGTGTGGCCGACGCCAATCCTCCGGCAAGTGTCGTGTGGCGTCGGGCTGGCCGCAGCGACATTGCATCTCTTGAGGAATCTCTGCAGCTGCGGCCAGTTGGGCGCAGGGATGCTGGCATGTACACTTGTCAAGCTCAGAACGCAGTTGGTGCCAGCGAGTCTCTTAGTGTACAACTGGATGTTAAATGTAAGTTATAACATAATTATTATACAGGAAATTTTAATTGATATAATAAAGTACATTTAAATGTTTTTTGTCCATGATTTCAAATTGATTTTTTTCAAATCGAATGAAATTTGTTATATGTATGGATAATGGAAAAAAATATAGTCCATGATTGCAAAATAATATTTTCAAATCGAATATAACTTGTTGTAAAAATACAAGAATTAGACCATGATTTGAATTTGATAAATAGAATAAAATTTGTTATAAAAATACATAGATTTCAAAATATCTTCAAATCGAATAAAACTTGTTATAAAAATACATGGATTTCAAATTGACAATTTAAAATCGAATAAAGCTTGTTATAAAAATACATGGATAATTGCCATGTTTTTCAAATTGATAATTTCAAATCGTTTAAAACTACTTATAAACGGAGAATAGTCTATTAATTTCTCTTATAGAATTATCTTAATAATTAGTTATTTCTCGAGTGTCATTATATTATATATATTATTTAAAATCTAACAACAATATAAAAGTATCATTGCTATTGCCCCTCATTTCTTAACTATGACCTTTTATCATAGCTCATAATTGAAATAATATATTTCTCTATCGTATATATTTTTTTAATTCCACCGAACAAATTTTTTTTTTTATTTTTTTAAATTATACACAAATTATTTTTGCATCTATTTCATAGAGAAGTATATTTTCTTTTCTCACTATGAATCTTCTCAATAAGTACTATTCTTGAAATTAATGATATATATTTAAAATTCCAGATAACAATCATTATTACATCCACAATACTACAATGGTTCTAGTATAAAAAAGCACTTTTTTATTTGCATTTAAATAAATGAAACAACAAATTTTTCAAAATTAAATATAATCGAATAAAAAATAATCGAATTCAAAAAATATTGAGAGGGTTCTAAGGGAGAGATAAAAATACATTACATTAAAAACGAGATTTAAGAATAATTTGTGGAAGTATGAAATTCTGTACATTCAAATATTTTTCTGTAAATTCAAGCATAAATTTCATAATCGCGCAAATTATTCTTAAATCTCATTTTGATGTAATGTATTTCTGTCTCTCTCTTAGAATCCTCTCAATATTTATTGAAATTGATTATAAACATTTGAATACGATTAAAAATTCTAGATAACATCTTTTTGTCTTCTTAATTTGTAAAGATATCTTTTCTATTAGTATACAAAATTGGACTAGTTCAAGTACTAATACTCAACATATCATTTATGAATGAATTTATATCGTCAAATGAATATTTACAATCAAATTTGGAGAACTCTATACATAAACGAATTATATTATATAATGCCTCAGATTCTTCTCACAATCACTGATAGTTCTTTTATTTTATTATTTAGTTTTCTTTTTTAAATTTTCTATGGTCTATTTCTAATACTTCTAATAAGTTTTTTATTCGATTGCATTCATCCTTTAGTTTCAACATATTCTTAAACAAATATTGCCTTTACATTCTTCTTACATTTTTCCCATTTTCCTCAGTTACTGATACTTCAAATTAGTTTCTGAAACACTGCATTTATACATTAGATACAAACCTTTCTTTTAAAAAAAATATTGCATTTATTTCCTATTTACTATTTTCACACTTTCCTCGGTTTCTGATTTTAATTCTGAAAAGTTTAGTTTTTCTCCTAAGCATTAATTTGCTAACATTTACATATAGACTAGTAATTTTGTCTTACCTCTTGCTTTTCAAATGTGAATTTTATTTGTTCATTAAAACAGATGACTGACGATTATTATGATATTTGAATAATTATATTTTTGATGCAAGTATTTATATGTTAAATTTAAACTTGCTCTAAATTTAAACTAATTTTGGATATTAATAATATTCTATTGGTGCATCTATGCCAAATTTCAATTTTAGTACCATATTCAAAACAAATAAAGGACTGACGATGATGAAAAAAATTTGAACGATTAATGTTATTGATTCAAGTACTTATATGTTAAATTTCAACTTGTTTTAAATTGGCTATTAATACTATTTTATTTATATATCTATGCACATTGCCAAATTTCCATTTCCGTACAATAATTATAACTGAGCAATTGATTACCATGCAATACCCATTCCTGCCATTTGTCAGTTTATGTCACCTGAACCGCGCACCTGCGCTGCTTTTCGGTTTTCGAATCAGTGTCACGATGCAACGATAACAACCTGCAACATATCTTAATTAGTTTATTAATTAAACTATATCGCATACATGTAACCAGAGCGGTTTAGAATATTAACGATGTACACTGTGTTGTTATAACACATAGAATAGAAAGCAATTTAACGCGAATACATGTACGAGGGCATTTTGCATTATCCAATTAGTCCAACATTTGTATAAGTTCGCTTCCGAATTAGTAAACCCGGCTTAATAAATTCCTGAACGGCTTATATGCAAAACAAACGAAAACTCGCGAATGTTCACACTCGATTCTCAGCAGGAATGCTAATGCGAAAACTTTAAATTTTGATGCAACCGGGTGAACAGAAGGCGCGGCGCGACGAGACGCTGTTTTTTGGAAATATTCTCAGGCAAAATACAAAATTTGGTCATTTAAATTGAAATAAATTAATTTTTACTTAATATAAAAATTCTACATGGCGAAAAATAATTTATTTGTAACTAGTGGTTCATGGCATTGGGCTCCAAGGCAAATTGCTGAAACTTTCCGTACAGTAATTAAATATTCGAGAAATAAAATTAGTGGGGTGCATGGCATCGTACCTTAAGGTAAATTGCTAGAACTTCCCGTACCGTAATTAAAAATCTTGGTACGAAACCCAAAAAAAATACACAAAATGTGTACACATTATTTAAATCTCTATAAAACATCTGATAATTTGATGTACGTATGTCCAATAAACATCTGTGACCGCCAAATGACATTTTTTAACTTATTATTATTGAGAGTCTATAACCGCTGAACCTGCTTTCCCAAAAATTTAATCAGTTCTTCGTCTTGTCTGTACAAGTAAAATGTTTTTTAAATTATTAAAATCGGACGCTCTGTGCTCTTAAAAACTGAGTTACCGTTTTAGGCACTTTTTGCCCCGTATCTTCGGAACGGGTAGACCTGCTTTTGCGAAAAACTAATCAGTACGTCTCCTTATCAAAACGAATCGAATGTTTTTTTAATTATTTAAATCGGTTGATCGGTGTTCCCGAAATCGTCGACGAAAATTTTTATCCGCGCACACACACACGCACACATACACACATACACATATACATCCATTTTTTCTGAGGTATGCCAAAATGTTCAAAAACCTTCAAAACGTCGAGAAATGTAAAAAAATTCATTCTCGATTTTTGGTCTAATTAATGAAAATTGATCAATGATTAAGAAAATTAGCTTTAAAAATTTTCATATTAATTATTATAAATATGTACTGAAAATTTTCTCATTCATATTTTTTATTTATTGCCATGACTTTATCAAACAAAACACTACTATATGTTTACAAGAAATACACAAAACCTCCTCTGCTTGAGTTGATGAATGAAGGCGTTCTAAAAAGGATCTTATCTCATATGTTTCAGAATAATCCAAAATACCGTTTCGGTTTCAATACATATATCAATTTGATCTTTATGGAATTTTTATTGAAAATATTGAAACTTCTGGACCTGCCTTCCCCAGAAACTAATCGTTTCTTAACACAAGTTGTTTTTCGAATCATTCTAATCGGATGATTCATTGTCTGAAACACTTTTATTTTTTGTACTTTTTACTCCATATCTCCAGAACGGCTGGACCTGCTTTTGCCAAACACTAATCAGCACATCTCCCCATCAATACGAATCGAATGTTTTTGAATTTTTCAAATCGGTTGATCAAATTTTATTTTCGATTTTTTGCGATTACTATAACTTACTCCACGGAAAGTTAGTAAATACATTTGTAATATATGCATATTTATACCTTCATATTTAGAAATTTTTAATAACAATTGAATCTAAATAAGATGTATATTTTCGAATAGCAAAGTTAACTGATTCGTGCCACTCCTCCTACCCCGTGTTGCTTATTAAAATATTTTACTTCTATAGAATAAATAACTTTATGATTAAATTTACGACTTCATCAAATATTTTTATGCTCCAAAACTATGAAATTGAATATTTTCGATCGGTCTTAGGCAAAGTCTTATGCAGCTGTGTAATGAACCCAGTTGCAAACTTAAATCTCTATACCGAAGCGCGCAGCAAGTTGCTGCGTCTTACGAGAAACCGTAATATATTAATATTAACTAAAACTATTCCAAGCCGGATGTAATGCACAAACTTAAGAGAAATTTGTATTTGATAAATATTGAGTTATTCCGTAAACGATAAATAAGTTTTCAGAAAGCTATAAATAGTTTGATTTATTTCATTACCTTCTTAATTGGAGTGAAATGCTTGATTTTGATTTTAATTACATTGATATTTTCTTAAGTAATAAACTAGTTATTTTACTGTAATATACAGGGTAAAACGAGGGATAAAGGTCCATGGGTAAAAAAGTCCACCACCATTAGCTCAAATACAAGTACAAGTAACAACATATTTGCAAATGTTTCCCAACCTTTTTTAGGCTTCACGCCCCACCTTAACATTCCTAAAAAAATGGCGCTCGTATGAAATTTTTTACCTTCAAAAATAATTTTGTTATTCAAGGTATAAGATAATTTTTAAGAAATCACTATTAAAATAAAAAAAAAATCAATTAAAATTCCATTAATGGTTTTTCTACATTCAATCAAGTCTATTTTTTCTAACTTTCGAAGAAGAGGTTTGTTTTCGCCAGTTGTATAGATTTAATTTATGAATTTTTTTTAAAGCAATATATATTCTAGTATTAAATATCTAAAATATTTACCATCATATCCCAAAGCATATGGGTCAAAATCGTATCATTTTTTAATTTGCCTCCTTGAATTTAAAAATTGCCCTTCTGCGGTGCGTGCGCCTCACGTTGGAAATTACTGATTTAGACAGTATAATTACTGAAAGTCAATTTTGAAATTTTATATTGAGTAAAAATTATTATATTCTACAAACTATAATATATTCTTGTGCCTTATATCATTCTAGTTGGCGACACTTTATTGAATTACCTATGAGTTTTCTTTCACAAATATTACATAAATTTGTAATATTATCTCAAAGATTCACCACAGCTTTTAATAATAATTCTAATATCGTCTGCGTGATTTTAAGCAATATATTGTTTAACTTTTCGCAAAGTTGAGTAAGAATAACATTACCGTTTTACAAAAGTTAAAAGTTTTGCATAATATTCTTCTCTCGTCACAAGAGAAGACTTTGTGAACTTTTAATTATCATATTTACGTCATCTCTGCCGTTATTAATTAATGCATCATATTATTTATCATAAGATGCATGCGCGCACCTTTTATGAAAATTTAAGATTAATGAATTTTCTTGAGGAGTAAAAGAAAATGCTTCTAGGATCTTTTGTTTCAGAAAATTGTAGAAATGAGTAATTGTTCAAAGTTTATGCATTATTAGTTTTGGTAGCGTATGTTACAATGTATTTCAACTTGTGGAATGAATAATTCATAAATGAATACATCTTGTTTGCAACTATTCTTATGCTATGCAAGAAATAAATTTGGCCAGTTCAATACCAAGCAGTGTTACATTAAATTTCCACTTAATGTTAGAGATCTCAAATATAATTTCAAGTGATCGCCGTTTGTGGGCATTGCTGCAACACATAAATACTAACAATCTTTTAGACATCCATATCTATAATAAATATAGTCTTATATAAAAAAGAAGAGTGGTTGACCTCTAGGTTGCCCTTTCAAGAAGATTATTAGGTTAGGATGTACGAAAGAACCAAGTTCATAGAACTCGTAATACTGTTAAACTAATATTGTCCTAATAGTTATCTCCTTCTTTTCAGATCCTCCAAGAATTTTGTCAGTTGGCCCAGATCGTTTGACTACTGCACCATTATTCTCACCAGCTGCTTTTGAATGTGTTGCTGAAGGAAATCCACCTCCAAGTTATCAGTGGCTCCAAAGGTAAAATATTATATCAACTACTTCAAATATTTATTGAAGATATTGTTTATTAATATTTATCTGAATTGGAATGAGAATATTGTTGATCTTTGTAGGCGTTGTTTAAATCGTTGTTGCTTTAGGCAAAAAAATTATCTGATCGCTGATAATAATTAATTTTATAGATGGAACGATATACACTTCTCAAGTAATTTCTTTTAAAGACTTTTACGTATTTCAGATATATTTCTTGTTTGCATTTTTCAAATGGAATATATGACATTTATCCCTATTCCCCTGGTATCAAACCTTATGATCACTTCTTTTCGCAGAAATACGAGGGTTGTCTCTGAATTACTTTCAATATAGTTGATGTACTAAAATGAATTAAACATGCCTCATATATAACTCATATGTCATAAAAAAAGATACGAGTCATGAGTGTGGCGCCAAAGTCGGTTCTTATGAATTTCTTTGATACGTAATAATAATCAAACGATACTAAAGCAAAACTCAACATATAAGATATAGAAGTCTTATTCGTGATTACTTCTGGCGAAGTTTTATAAGAGAGTTAATAAAATAAATATGACTTGATAAAGTGATACATATTAAACTAAATAAATGGTCCAAATTTGCAAGAAAATAAAAATGCAACATTCGTTTGCAAGCAATTTATACTTCATCATTCATATACCAAATAATAAATGACAAAGTGGGTTTTTTCTTTGTCATGTCTTAAATCTGAGTATATATTGCAATTTACTTACATAGTATTTTGTTCTCAAGTAATATATTTTCAACATTCGGATAATTTTTCATACTTCTCATAACTTTTTCGTAGTTCTTATAATAATATATGCCTATAAATTGCTCGTGGATCTTAAAAAATTGCTGTTATAAGTAAATTAGGTTATTAAAGTATACTTAGTAATTAACTTATACGTACCTATGAAAAGAAAATCACTAAGCAAAATAAATGATAATGTAGTGCTAATTTACAGATAGGATAATTTTGGTATCAATAAAGGTATTGTA